TTGAATTTCTGGCAGTTTCCTGTTGAAATACTGCTGCAGCCGCTTTTGAATCATCTTCAGCAAAATTTTACTTGTGGGTAATATTACTGATATTGCTGGATAATTTCCACATTTGGATGGATCACATTTCTTTGGAATAGACATAAATATGGATCTCTTCCAGTGGGTTGTCTTCCAAATTTCTCGACATACACGAGTAAGCACTTCCAGCACTGCTTCCATTTGTTGAAACAACTCAATTGGTATTCCGTCAATTCCTGGAGCTTTGTTTTCTGCCAGTGTTTTCAGTGCAGCTTCGACTTCTTCCTTCAGTATCATGAGTTCCTGATCATATGCTATCTCCTGAAATGGTTGAACACCAACCAGTTGTTTTTGTTATAATGACTGTTTATTCCTTCCACCTTCTTTTAATGCTTCCTGTGTCATTTAATGTTTTCCCCATAGAATCCTTCAGTATTGCAACTCGAGGCTTGAGTTTTTTTGTCAGTTCTTTCAGCTTGAGAAATGCCGAGTGTGTTCTTCACTTTTGGTTTTCTAACTCCAGTTCTTTGCACAAGTCCTTATAATACTTTACTTTGTCTTCTCCAGCCACCCTTTGAAATCTTCTGTTCAGCTCTTTTGCTTCATAATTTCTTCCTTTTGCTTTAGCTACTCGATGTTCAAGAGCATGTTTCAGAGTCTCTTCTGACATCCATTTTGGTCTTTTCTTTCTTTTCTGTCTTTTTAATGATCTCTTGATGTCTTCATGTATGATGTCCTTGATGTCATTCCACAACTCATCTGGTCTGCAGTCATTAGTGTCAACGCATCAAATCTATTCTTGAGACTGTCTCTAAATTCAGGTGAGATATGCTCAAGGTCATACTTTGACTCTGGTGGACTTGTTCTAATTTTCTCCAGTTTCAACTTGAACTTGCCTAAGAGCAATTAATGATCTGTTCCACAGTTGGCTCCTGGCCTTATTCTGACTGATGATATTGAGTTTTTCCATCTTCTCTTTCCACAGATGTAATCAGTTTGATTCCTATGTATTCCATCTGCCCAGGTCCATGTGTATTGTTATTGTTTATGTTGGTGAAAAAAGGTATTTGCAATGAATAAGTGGTCGGTCTTGCAAAATTCTATCACGCGATCTCCGGCATTGTTTCTGTCACCAAGGTCATATTTTCCAACTACCAATCCTTCTTTGTCTCCAAACTTTCGCATTCCAACCACCAGTAATTATCAATGCATCCTGAATGCAGGTTTGATCAATTTCAGACTGTAGAAGTTGGTAAAAATCTTCAATTTCTTCATCTTTGGCCTTAGTGGTTGGGGCATAAATTTGAACAAGTCGTATTAACTGGTTTTCCTTGTAGGCATATGGATATTATCTTATCACTGACAGCATTGTATTTCAGGATAGATCCTGAAATGTTCTTTTTGATGATGAATGGAATGCCATTCCTCTTCAAGTTGTCATTCCTGGCATAGTAGACCATATGATTGCTGGATTCAAAATAGCCAGCAGCAATCCATTTCAGCTCACTAATGCCTAGGATATCGATGTTTATGCCTTCCATTTCATTTTTGACGATTTCCAATTTTCCTAGATCCGTACTTCGTATGATCCACATTCCGATTATTAATGGATGTTTACAGCTGTTTCTTCTCATTTTGAGTTCTGCCACATCAACAAATGAAGGTCTCAAAAGCTTGACTCCATCCACATCATTAAGGGTGACTCTACTTTGAAGAGGTAGCTCTTCCCCAGTCGTCTTTTGAGTACCTTGTAACCTGAGGGGATCATCTTCTGGCACTATATTAAACAATATCCTGAAACTATTCATAACATTTTCAGAGTTTAATTCTTTTCAGAAGGAGACAGTTGGGCCCTTCTTCCTAGTCTGTCTTCATCTTGAAACTCAGCTGAAACATGTCCACCATGGGTGACCCTGCTGGTATTTTAATACCAGCGGCATATCTTCCAACATCACAGCAAAAACTAAGCCCCCACAGTACTAAAAATTAACATCACAGAGGTTAAGATTTACAACACAGAGTATAATCATATCAGATCACAAAATGGTGGAGAACCACACAACACTGTGCATCAAGGCCTAGCCAAGTTGATACACATTTTGGGGGGACACAATTCTATCAATAACATTCTCTACCTTTGACCTCCAAAATAAATGTTCTTGCCACATGTAAAACACATTGACCCTATTATAACATAGCAAAAGGTTTAAATCAACTCCAAGTCTAAATTCCACCCTGGGGCTAAATACCTCTTTATTTTTAGAACCTAGAATAAAATTTAGCTGCTTCCAAAGTACAATGGTGGAGCAGGCACAATATAGACATTTCCATTACAAGTGGAGAAATTGGATGGAAAGTAGAGTAACAGGCACCAAGCAAGTTGGCTCTGTTCTCTGAGACCATTTGGACAATGGCCCTATCGTTTAGACTCTGGATGATGGCCATACTCTCCATATTCTGAGTGGATGCCCCTCAGACCTGGGCTTCAGCTCTGCCTTCCAGGCCCACTGGAATGACAACTCAGCTCCCTCACTTGTGGGCAGCCCCATTCTCTTAGTCCATCTGATTGGCCACTCCACCCCCTCGACCCCTGAAGACCCTGTTCTTCTACCCTTTGGGCATGGATGCCCTGCCTCCTCATCTTCGGACACTAGATCTGGCCCCGTCCTGCTGGCATCCTGAAAGTCAGCCCCACGCTCCGGAAAAGAGTTGGTGAAAATCTGACTGTGAAACCTAGGAGGCTGTGGTCCCACCTATTGAAATCCCAGAGGCCATGGCTCTACCCTTTGGAACCCAGGCAGCTCTGCTTCCTGTGTCCCTTGTCTCTTCAGCTTCTCTTTCCTGCTTCCTTGGCTTCTCGGCACCTCTTGCCTCTTCTGCTGGCCTGGCATCTGCCTTGCTCGGGCAAGTGTTCCAAAGTTTTTAGCTCTACCAATAAGTGCCTGGAGGCACCTCACTCTGCTAGGAAGCCGCTTGCAAAAGACAGTCAACTCTCACTCTGTGGGTCGGCTCCTGCACTGTCTTGCACTGGTTTTCTAGTTCTGCTGCTGCTTTTTGCTATCTGCATCGTCTCCAGTGTTACGTCCCTTCTTACTTCCTTCTGAATCCTCACCAGAATTGTCTTGGATGTCCATAATTCCACCAACAGTCTCTTCAAGACAACCTAGATTTTTACTACTAGGCACTATAAAATTCTTTCAGCCGCTACCCATTGCTCAATTCCAAAATCACTTCCACATTGTAGGTATGTGTTAGAGCAGCACCCTACTCTCCTGGTACCAAATTCTGTCTTAGTTATCTAGAGCTGCTAACAGCAGAAATACCACAAGTTGATTCAGGCTTTAACAAACAGGAATTTATTCTCTCACAGTTTAGGAGGCTAAAAGTCCAAATTCATGGCACCAGTTCCAGGGAAAGTCTTTCTCTCTCCGTTGGCTCTGGGGGAAACTCTTTGTCATCAATCTTCCTTTGGGTCTAGGAGTTTTTCATAGCAGTGACCCTGGGTCTAAAGGACATGCTGTGCTCCTGGCACCTCTTTTTTGTTGGTATAAGATCTCTTTCCTCTCCGCTTCATTCTGTCTTTTATATCTCAAAAGAGAATGACTCAACATACAAACTAATCCTATAGATTAGTCCTGCTTCTTTAACATAACCTCCTCTAATCCTGCCTCATTAACATCATAGAAGTTAGGATTTACAACACATTGGATAAACATATCAGATCACAAAATGGTAGAAAACCATACAATACTGGGAATCATGGCCTAACCAAGTTGATACACATTTTTTGAGAACACAATTCAATCTATAACACACAGTACCAGAAACAAATATGCCCAAGAAACCTATTAAAACACATGAATATGTACTAAGAATAATTATTCTTGTTAAGACAATTTTCACGTTTAAACTTTAATGTAAATGTCATACATTATATGTTATTTTTATTTCTTAGTATGCTATTATGTTTTTGAAACTAGTATTTAAATGTAATAATATAATTAAAAAGTCTCAGTTAGTGAGAAACTATTTTATTCTGTAAACCTTCATCTAAAGTGAGAATAATAGCAGCTCAACTGGAAGAACGTAATCAATATCACTCAATTGTGCACATAGAAATTTTTGAAATGGTCTATCTTTGGCTATGTATATTTTCACCAAGAAAAGAAAAAAGATCCTCCAAGGTCGAGAAGGGAGAATGTCGACATGTCGTGGGGTTGTTAACCAATGTCATAAAACCATATGTGTACTGACCGTTTAATGAGAAACTATTGGTTCTGTAAAGCTTCATCTACAGTAGAATAAATTTTTTTTTAAATAAATAAGTAAATAAACTAATAACATAAAAAAAAGTCTCAGAACTGTCTAGGTTTGAACAATAAATAGATTATGTTGATGACCCTACTGATGCTTACTATCTCAGAGAGCTACTAGTTGGCCAGCTTTAAGTTGAAACAGAGAAGTATGGGTACTAGAGATTTAAGAACGCTATTTTTGGGAAATTTTGTCACAAATACTTTCTTAAATAGACGACGAGTCTTCTAAATTTCTGAAGAAGTTGTACTGCCAAAGAAACTTCATGCTCAGAATTTAAAAGACAGTAGCTTTTTCCTCTGCAAAACAATTCAAGGTCCTCAAGCTTGCTTCACCAAGAAGTGTGAGGCAAAATCTGGGCAGCATCCAATAAGGGTCTAATTATTGAACTTCTATTTAGATGAGAAAAAGAAGACAAAAAAGATAGTTGAACGAAGATCCAAAAAGAAAAATCGACACAGTCCTCCACAACCAAGCAAGTGACCTTAAGAATCTGCCCAATTGATCAGTGACTGCTGCAGATCTCCCAAGCAAAAGGGGAGGGTGCTTCAACATACTCTACCCTGGATTCACTACATTATACTGAATGTGCAGTGCCATACAAATTACCTTATTTCTTCATTGGTCCATAGATCTGAAGGATCCCATTAAAACTTAATGTAGGGGTGCTAGCTTCAGCAGCACATATACTAAAATTGCAAAGACACAAAGAAGATTAACATGGCCCCTGCTCAAGGATGACATGAAAAATTTTGAAGCATTCTGTATTTTTTTAGACTGGACTATAAGACATAAAATTATACTCGTGAAGAGTGTGCTTCTTAGATCAAGTAGATACATGAGACTAAATGGGCAGCTCCTGTCTGGAGGCGAGATGAGAGGGCAGAAAGGGACAGGAGCTGGTTGAATGGACGCTGGAAGCCTAGGGTGAAAAGAAGCAGTGTGTTGTCACATTATAGAGGGAACAACTACGGTCACAAAGCAATGTGTATATAAATTTTTGTATGAGAAACTAACTTGAGCTGTAAACTTTCACTTAAAGCACATTTTAAAAAAACTTAACATAGAGAATGATGTAACAATCCAAGATCGTAGACTTTGCACAGACTGAACACTACAGGACTAGGGAAATAGCTTCAATATGTGAGAGAAAAAGTGAAACACCTAGTTAGTGACCAAAAACAAAAACTGTGGCAGAGTCTGACTAGATGTTCTCCAAATATATTTCCTTTCCTTGAATATCCAATTAAACAATATCCCCTAGCTCCCTCTTATCTAGGTTGTGCCATGTTATTAGTTTCTAGACTGGCATGTGGGTAAAAGTGACACATCTATTGTGTATCAAGGCTCTTAAGAGTTACTTTGTTTCCTTATTCTATGTCTTTAATTCTGCTTGGCTGAATGCTGAAGATCCAGTATGGGACTACATGGAACACCTCATCACCACCACTGTTGTCTTTGGTTATTCTGACTCATAGCGACCCTACAGAACAGAGTAGAACTGCCTCATAGGGTTTCCAAGGCTGTAATCTTTACGGAAGAAGACTGTCTCATCTTTTGCCCACACAAGGAACACCTAGAGAACAAAAAGTGGAATTGCAGGCTGGAAAGAAACAGATTTTTGATTCATTCATCACAAATTTTGCTGTCATATGAAGTTAATTATTTATTGTGTTATTCCTTTGATGTATCTGAGGTATAGTTTTAGAAATAAGATCGGGGTAAAATACAGCTTAAGGACATTCAATCTTTCCCAGCCTGTATGTATCTGACAAGTGTGAGGCAAATTAAGAAGGCAATTGTCATTTGCAGATATACGTAAAGGAAGCTCAACGTGGGAATTTCAAATCAGCCATGAGAAACAGTGCAGAGAACCAACATATGAAAGGCATCCTATAGTAAACAGAAAAACCTATCAGTTGCTGTGAGTCCATTCCGACTCATGGCAACCCCATGTGTGTCAGAGTAGAACTGTGCTCCATAGGGTTTTCAGTGCTATTTTATCAGGAGTAGATCACCAGGCTTTTCTTCCTAGAGGCCTCTGAGTGGACTTTAACCTCCAACCTTTTGGTTAACAGCTGAATGTCTTAACCATTTGCACCACCAAGGGGCTCCATAGTAAAGAGTAGTAATACTGAAATACACAAAAGGAATGCAGCCTCAGACATGCTATTGAAGAGTTATAGAACCTCCAAGAAGGAAAAAACAAATTTAATTACAAATAGAAGTGGATATTGGGCTTCTGATTTCATGCCTAAGTATTTCATCTCCATCCACACTTGGAGGAAACTGAGATGGGGGAAGATCATGAGAAGAAAGCTGTTTGTTTTGTTGTTGTTGTTGTTGTTTGTTTGTTTTTCTGTCTGAAGTCATACCGTTGAAAATGTTTATTTTTGAGGTGACATGTCACTTTGAATCAGCCAGATACCTTCCATGATGTCTGACTGGCCATCCTAACATTATTAAAACCATCTATTTTCGCCAGCAGAAATGCTTTTATTTTCACGAAAGTTAACCTAGAACACAGAGTCCACTTCTAAAAGGGAATCACAGGGTAGTCTTCGGTGGTAGTGGGGCACCATCTAGTTCTTCTGGTCTCAGGCTGGTGGCATCTCTGGTTCATGTGGTCCTTTAGTCCTTGGTGCTAGTATTTGCCTAGTGTCTTTGTTTTTCTTCATACTCCTTTGCTCAGGGTGGGATGGGACCAATAGATGTATCTTACATGGCCAGTTGCAGGCTTTTAAGACCCCAGACACTACTCACCAAAATGGGATGTAGAACATTTTCTTTATAAACCTTGTTTTGCCAATTGACCTAGATGTTCCCCAAGACTATAGTCTGACAGGGATCACAACAGAGATTCCTGGACAGAGCAGGAGAAAAATGTAGAACAGAATTTAAATTCACATAAGAAGATCAGACTTACTGGTCTAAGAGAGACTGGAGGAACACCGAAACTATGCCCCCAAATGCTCTGCTAATCCAGAGCTGAAACCATTCCTGAAGCCCACTTTTCAGACAAAGGTTAGACAGGCCTATAAAACAAAAAATAACACACATGAGGAAGCTGCTTCTTAGTTCAAGCAAATATACGAGACCAAATGGGCAGCTTGTGTCCAAAGGCAGGAAGAGCAGGCAGAAATGGACAGGAGCTAAAGAAAAAGATGCTGGGAACCCTAGTTGGAAAAGGGAAGCGTGCTCTCACTTTGTGGGGATTGTAACCACTGTCACAAAACAGTGTGTGTATAAATTTTTCAACGAGAAATTACCTTGAGCTGTAAACTTTCCCCTGTAGCACAAATAAAACAAAGAAAGAAAGAAAGAAAAAAAGGGAGTCTCAGCACCCATTACAGTGAACAGACCAAGTGTAGCATGTTCATGTGACAAAACATACGACATATTTTCCTAAAGATCCATCTGGATGAAATATGGTAGTTAGAGTAAGGAAGTCCAGTTCCAATCAGTTATCAAGGGTCTGTAACGCAATAGCTAGACAGATTAACTTTTTCCATGAAAGCAATGCTAGAGAGTAAGTGTTACTACTCCTCCATGCACTCTCTCTATATCCAGGAAAACATGTTTGTTTGGCCTTTATGCCACGAAGGGGTTACAGAAAAGGTCAGATCTATTCAGAGAAAATTGTTTTGAAAAATAAGCCAGACTGATTGCCACCCAGAAGCATTCTGCTAGAATTTAGGTCAGTACACAAGAGACACTTTCCCCAGGGTGAGTGCAACTCTTTCCTTTTTAAAAGCACTTAGTGTTTGAAAGAAAACGAAGGCTAGTATAGAATCTGAGTGGCTTCCAGAGACAAAAAAAGGTGAAAATCTTAAGAAGAGTATATGTTAACAATAGTCCTGGACTCTCCTAGGCAGCTTTATGCAATCTTTAAAGGTAAGCTGTTATTATATTGTTGGGCTATTTTATCTAAGGATATTTTTAAATTTGAAGATTAAGATACAACTAATAAAACAGAAAACACATGAAATTCTGCAAAAAAAACTGTATTTGAAAATGGGTTACCCACTTAAGGTAATACATGCAGCCCTCTAACCTTCCTAATTATAGATTAAATACAATTAGATGCATGGCAAATGATCATAACAGTATTTATAGTTTTTAATAAAATACACCCACTCCTCATTTATCGATTTGGTTAAGTTCTAAATACCAGGTGGTGAAGTAAAAATTGGCATTATGCAAAAATGGAGGATTTTTTTTTCCTGTTTTCAGACCATCTATTTGCCTGATTTTTTCAGTTAGAAAATATGATCATAAAAATAATAAAAGCTAAAACTTACTGAGGTGCTCATCCCTGTGAGGCTTGATGCTGCCTGTGAATCTGCCTAGAGGCCACGGCCAAGGAGGAGGGCAGGCCCCTCGCTGCAATTGACATGGAGCCACCCCTGGCGGGAAGGCGTGGCGGTCTCGGGGCAGGGAGGTCTAGCTCCCCGAGGCTGCTCGGGGACCCTCCTGTAGGGAGGGCTGCTCCATTGCATTTGTCACCACGCTCACCACCTCATTAGTGCACAAAGGGTCGGATAGTAGTTTTTTTACTTTTGTCATCAATGACGAATAGTGGATAATTAGAAGTCAAAGAGTGAGGAGTGGGTGTAATTCATTCATGGTCATTTCGGTAACTAGTACTAATAGAAATAAGGAAACGAGTGAAATATTTGTCTGGTCACCTTTACGTTGAAAGTCAATAAGTTAAAATCATCAGCTGATTGGAATAAAAGGAGGGGTAGGGTGTAGTAGATTTGAGGAAAGAAGCAAATACATGTATCATTGTTTTGAAAAGTTGAGAGTAAATATTAAATAAGTATAATGTGAATAGTGAGGTAGTGTCCAGTGATTGCTTAATAACTGAAGACAGTAATATAGAGTGAAGCAACAGAGTTATGTTTCTCTAAGGTCTCGTTCACATGCTCTGTCCTCATGCAGGGCCAGAGTAAACAATAATTGGGTTTAATCAAAGTTGTGTTTTTATAAAACACAATTACTACAAAGGGGAGAAGAGAGAGGGAGTTAGATTTGGTTGCAAGGAAATGATATGTCAATGGAACATAGAATCTTATGTGGGTAAGGAGCAAAATACCAAAAAAATTCATTGTGAAGAGTGGGTCGTATTTCTTGACTGAATTGAAAGTAACTTAACATTTATCATAAACTAAATAGGTATGTTAAAAGGCAATGTTATTAAATAGCATCCTTAGCTTAATTTTTTTTTTTTTTATTTTGTAAGCGATGTAAGAGATACAGAAAATAGAACACTAATAACACACACATTTATTCCCACAGAAACAAAGGATTGGTTTAAGAAAACTGAGTCTAACAATATAAATGGGAAGTCTTAAAAATAATTTTGAATGAAGAGTTCAGTAAAAAAGTTAAAGACAAATTTTGACTTCAGAGAAGTCGGATTAGGGATATCTACCCAGAAAAAAAATTCATCAACTAAGACTAAGCAGTAGAAAATGACCTACTCTTATTGGGGTAAACTAATCAGAGAACTTTCCGGCAAAATAAGCTCTAACTAACAAAGTAAACTTCTAAATATATACAGTAACATTACAGTCAAAGTTTAATAGAATATACCAGGATTTTATTTGTGGAATTGATTTTACTAGCATATCAGTTCATTACTGAAGTTTTAAATCACATTCCCTAGAAATGGAGCATTGTGATGTTGGGATTCATTTAACAGACATGTAGCTCTATCCATGCACCTATCCAATTAACAGAAGTGAAAATGCTTTTCAAAACTGTGAATGAATTAACCATCTTGAATTTACCATATCCAAGAATGGAAAGCAAATTAAATTCAGAAGAATCACATAATACTACAATTATGGAGTTTGCTCTCGTGGGGTTTTCTGATATACCTAATCTCCAGTGGATTCTCTTTGGGATATTCTTCGTCATATATCTGATTATTTTGTTGGGCAATAGCATCATAATACTGATAACAAGAATTGATTCTACTCTCCAGAACCCCATGTATTTTTTCCTCGGGAATTTTTCCTTCTTGGAAATATGTTATGTAACAACCACAGTCCCAAGAATGCTCAGGGACATTTGGACCCAGAAAGGAAATATATCTTTTTTGGCCTGTGCTGCACAAACGTGTTTTGTTTTTATATTTGGAGGTGCAGAGTGTTTGCTCCTGACAGCGATGGCCTATGACCGCTATGTGGCCATTTGTAACCCTCTGAACTATCCTCTAGTCATGAACCACAAAGTCTGTATCCAGCTAGTGGCTGGCTCCTGGATCAGTGGAATTCCAGTCGAAATTGGACAAATGTGGCAGATTTTCTCTCTGTCCTTTTGTGGGTCTAACAGAATTAATAATTTCTTCTGTGACATCCCCCAAATACTCAAACTCACTTGTGGAGAAACATTAGTGAATCAGATGGTGGTCTATATATTTACTGTGTTGTTTTTAATGGTTCCATTTCTGTTGATCGTTGCCTCCTATGGCAAAATTATCTCCAATATTCTGAAATTGTCCTCAGCCAAAGGGAGGGCCAAAGCCTTCTCCACCTGTTCTTCTCACCTGACAGTTGTAGTCTTATTCTATGGAACAGCTGCTATCAATTATTTACAGCCCAAATCAAATAAATCTGAAAGATTGGGGAAGTTGCTTTCTCTTTTCTACACAGTTTTGACACCAGTGATGAATCCTGTTATATATACTCTGAGGAACAAAGATGTCTTCATGGCACTGAAGAAATTACTACCTAATTATTAACATAAGGTAACGACTTGAAATAACAGAAACAATTTGCTTATGTTTTTGTCATGTAGATACAACAGGAAAAATCTTCTGGTTTTGTTTTTACATTCCTAAATAGAAATAATCAATGTTGTGCTAACAATCTCACATTATGTCAAGGGACCTTTGTTTTATAAAATTAACTACTTTTGTGCAATGATACCACAAATTAACTGAAGTTCAAAAATCTAATCTTGAAGATCAATCTTTCCTCTGACTGTGGAAAGTGAGGTAAGAGATTGAATAGTACAATGAAAGATAATTGAATGTGTTGTTTAATCAGGAATTAGGGACATGTTCTGTGATAATTTTTTTTCTTGTATTTCACTTACCTTCAGATGCATTTGCTGTCTTTCTCTGCCCCCTTGGTTGGATTCAGCCAATGAGCAACACCAACAGTAGCTAAGATGGTGGAAGCTGGGGAGAATTTGGAGTTTTCTCTGTGTATTTTCTCGGCTTCTATACCTTGTCTCTGTCCGTGTCCCTTAAAGACTATGTATACTGCAGGGTGTACACACATCTATGGTCCCACTTCCCACCATTCTCTGATAACATTATTTCTTCCCTTTTTATCTTCAGACCTTTGTTTTGTAATATCTACCTATACTTGCAAGGATCTGATAGTCTCCCTATAATCTAAGCATAACCATGTTAATAGCCGATTCAGTAAGGTTCTTTAATTTAAATAATCAGGAATAAATTCTATATCCTGGCAGGTCTCCACTAGTTCATCATTCTTCCATTCTATTCTTGCATAACTTTTGGACAGTGATTTAGCATTTTTTTCTTTGAGGAAAAAAAATATATTAACGCTTTTACTCTATAAACTGATTCAACAACAACTCTTCTTAAAGAAGCAACAATACCTGTAGAAAAATGATATCATAAATACACATTTGCTGAGGAATATTAACACATAATTTATAGTGAAAAAACAAAATTGGAAGCAAATAGAATTAGAGATTGTATTAAGGCACTGGCATACATCTATACCATAAAACTACAGAGCACATATAAGAAGATTTTAGAATAGCTGTTGTGAAGAAAGTTCAAGTACGGACTGACATGTAAAAGAAATTAAAATTTAGTTAGAAAACATTACCCCATATTTGTAAAACTCTGAAAGATAAAGCCTTAAAACACCAACTTCTTGCCAATGAGTCAATTCTGACTCATAGTGACCCTATAGGACAGAGTAGAACAGCACCACAGGTTTTCCAAGGCTGTAATTTTTACTGGAGAAACTTCCACATCTTTCTCCTGTGGAGCTGCTGGTGGGTTAAACCACCATCCTCTCAGATAGCAGCTGAGTGCTTAATCACTGCACCAACAGGGCTCCCAGTAATGAAAGATAGCAACCTATAATTCCATTCAACTATTTATATGCACGTCAGTAGTGGATATGCATGCGTATGGATATGAGCAGTATTTGGATGGGTGTGGATTAGAAGGAAATATTGGCTTATTCATAGTGGCAGGAGTTCAGATAATTTCTGATTTATTTTTTATATTTTTTCTGTTTAGTTTGGATTTACTGAATTAAGAAGGTAATTGGTATATCAGAGGAAACAATAATTAATATTCATTCTGAAAATAACATAAGAAAATATTTGCATTTCTTTCTTCTTGCCAGTAGATGTAAGAATCTAGCATCTAGGAGATAAACTTCAATATCAACCAAGGTGTCTTTGATTTGTGAAAGAAACATAAATGTGTTGTGTGGGTGTGTCTGTGTGTTTATCATCTAAAAAGGCTGAAAATATCTCTATGGTCATTCCTTGAAAAACAAATAAAAGGCATATAATAATAGAACCAGAGATGGACAAATTTGAGATTACAAGAATGAACATAAAAATAAACAACTATCAGTGAGCTTGAATGATGAAAAATACACAATCTTTAAAACAAAAAAGAAAAGAAAGAGAAAATGTCAAACATGTTGAATTAATGAAGAATTTATCAGTATCCAGCAAATAAAAAAAGACACAAATATAAACTGAAAATTTATAACAATACTAACATGATTTTTCAGTAGTTGTCAAATCAAGAAGTTAAAAACTTTAAAAATAATTTTATGATTTTCAGAGATCATGTAAGTGGTGTACATAGAAACTGGACATATATCTATTTTCCAGTCCCAATCAAATATTTATAAAAAAATTGTTAATACACTCTCTGGCAAAGATAATTTCAACATATTCCAAAAACAACAAAGTAAAAATAAATTAGCAAAAGATTATACACTGGAGGTGGAGCTAATATGGCACCCTAGACAGATGCATTATGTCATCACTCTGCAGCAAAGACCAGAAAAACTAAGTAAAACAGATAGAAACATCAATCCTGGAACTGTAAGCATCAAATGAAGGGATAAAGAACTGAATCAAATAGTGAATGGAAGAAGAAACTGAAAGGAAACAGAGAATGAACAGAGATACTTAATAGAGATCCCCACCAAATAACACAGCATAGTGTCACCATCTTGGAGCACAGCCATTAATGGCCAGGGACAGGAAGTATGGGAAAGCAACTTCACAGTGCTCCCAACAGGAGTCAGAGCACCCGGTAACCAGAGAAACTTACTTTCCCTCCCCTCACCCTTCTGCCCCATATGCCACTCCCACACCTTCCCAAAGGGCCATGTGGCGCCACTGGGCTAGAGTGCTACTGTCCCACCATCACCCCAGTTCTGCCCTGACCCACACATGGGCTCCCAATGCACCATTTTGTTTTTCTTTCTTTTTTTTTCCCCATTCTTCTTTTTCTTTCTCCCTCCCACCTAGCCCCATACACCACTATGCTCCTTTCCTGCTGACCCCCAGGTCTGATCCCCCACCCTCCAGCTAACTTTTTTTAATTTCTCATTTCTTTTTTCTCCCTGCAAAGTTCTGTATGCCACTCCCCCTTTCCATTAGATCTCACCATGCTGCTGGGGCTAGAATGTCCCTGGATCAGGCCCACTGCCACAGCAGGGCCTACACTGACCCACCCCTTCTGCTACTTGACTAACTGCTGAACAGTGGGAAGCGAGTCCACTTCACCTCCTGTCTGACACCCTAGCCTATCTGTCAAGGGTCTGTGAATGCTCCCAAACCTATGGACCTACATCAGGAGGTAGACAGCACATGCCCAGTACACCCTCAGCCAACTTGCCAAACCAGGGTACTGTGAAATGAACTCACCCTGCCTGCTGCTGCCATGCCTGCCCAGTCCAGGTGGTGAGAGCTATCATGCCCACAGACAAGCAAGCAGTAAAGCACACCCGGCCCACCTGCTCTGACATATCAAAACAAAACAAAGAAGCAGGGTGAAACAAATGAACATACAATCAATCAGTAAATAAAAGAATACCTTAATGTCTTCAAGACAGCTGACAATATCAAGACATATAAAAAAGCAAGACATGATGGCTCCAGCAAAGGACCAAAATAAAGAATCAGACAATCTTCTGGTACAAGAAAAGGCAGTGGAACTACCTGATATAGAATTCAAAAGATTAATATTTAGAGCTCTCCAAGAGACTAGGAATGAGAACAAAGAAAACACAGACAGAACTAAGGATAAAATAGTCAAATTTAAGGAAAACACAGATAAAAGCAACAAAAACATTGCCAAATTCCAAGAAAACAAAGACAAAGGAATAGAAGAATTCAAGAAAAAAAAATGGAAAAATTTCAAAATAAATAAACAATTAGAAATCATACAAAAACAGCAAATAGAATCCCAAAAGATAAACAACAAATTTCAGAAATGGAGAAATTTATAGAAGGTTTTAGAAGCAAATTTGAAACAACAGAAGACAGAATCCACAAGATTGAAGACAAATTCATGGACACCACTTTGTTTGAGAAAAAATCAGAGAAAAGAATGATGAAAAATGAAGAAAACCTAAGAATTATGTGCGACACAATCAGAAGCAAAAATCTGCACGTGATTAGAATTTCAGACCAAGGGAAGAAAATGGAAAACACAGAGGAAATTGTTGAAGATACGCTGGCAGAAAACTTCTGAAACATCATGAAAGATGAAAAGCTGACCATCTGAGAAGCTGAATGATCCCCATATAGGATCGACCACAAAAGAAAGTCACTAAGACATATCATAATCACACTTGCCAAAACCAAGAAAAAGAAAGGCTCCTGAGAGCAGCTCAAGAAAAACAAAAAGTCACTTATGAAGTGGAAACAATAAGACTAAGCTCTGATTCCTTGGCAGAAACTATGCAGGCAAGAATGCAAAGGGATGATATATATAAAACTTTGAAAGAAAGAAAAAAAGCTGCCAACCAAGAATAATATATCCTGCAAAACTCTCTCAAATAAAATACGATAGCAAAATTAGGACATTTCCAGATAAACAGAAATTAAGGGAATCTATAAACACCAAACAAAAATTACAAGAAACATTAAAGGGAGTTCTTCTGTTAGAGAACCAACATCAGACAACAACCAGATACTAGGGCACAGGACAGCATCTGGCCAGATACCGATCTAGGTAAAGAACACTCAATAATAAAACAAAGCCAAAAAAACTTAAAAGACGGAAACAGAGACATCAATCTATAAACGATGACAACATGGAAACAATAAAAGGGGAAGTAAATGGTAGTGGTATAAATCTTTCAAGTGGACAGGAATTTATGGCAATACCTAGAAAAAAATGACTGGTTCAAACTTAGGAAGATAAGAGTAAATTTCAAGGTAACCTTAAAAAAGTTAGCAAACTTGCTCATCAGAATAAAAAAGAAGAAAAACACGAAGTCTCAGTAAATACAAAATCTATAGCAAAAGAAAAGACAACACACAAACAAAAGCAACTCTACACTGAAAGTAAGAGGAACAAAGAAAATGTGAGCACCACAAAAAAAGCACAATAGAACAGCAATAAACTCATACCTAGCAATAACCACACTGAATTTAAATGGCTTAAATATAACTGAAAAGAGACAGAGAGTGGTAGAAAGGAGAAAAAAGCAC